GGGAAAGATGCTATTAAAAAACCCACTGGTTGTTAAAAGGTGGTGTTCTTTCAGAGCGCTAAAGAAATGCCATCTGCCCGCGTGAGGGAAGGCAGGGTGAAAGGGCTGGGCGGCCCGCGAAAGCAGCGCGGAAGCACGTGTCCTTGATTTATCAATTAGGGCAGGGATACATTTTAATCAGGGAGGGCTGCTCGGAGCGCCGTGAGTTTTTCAGCTGAGATCTTTATTAGTTACATGTATGAGCGAATACGGTCGCTGGCTTTTTTTCCCCCCTCTCTCTCTCTCCATGAGCTGTTCTGGGCTGTAATTAATACGTATTAGGCATTTTCCCGTGCAGTGCTGTACTGTGTCCATCTTAGCGGATTTAATAAAACTCTTTGTTTAAATGCCAACTCAGGTTTGCACGGTCAAGCTTATATATACATATTTTTTTCGTAATGTAAAAAGATGCCATAGGTGAGCAGCATTTAAAAAAATAATTCTGCAATTACTATTTTTAAAAACAACTTCCTCCAAGATAAAGTCGCACTTGTTTCCAAAAACCATTCACAGCAGATACTGTAGATATTACTTAATACCTACAGAAATCAATGTGAAAATTAGATTTATTGGCTACTTACATTGTTAAAAATGACAAAGTGCTGCCTTTTATTTTCATAAAAACACAGAAGACCGAAAATCATTTAATAAAGAATCCACCTAGTTTAATTTCACTGTGGGTCTCTTGCATCAAAACCAATTATTTGAATCTCTCCTTCATAAACTTGCCTTTCATTCCAGTATTAAAGACAAAAAATTATTCTAAAATAGACTTGAAATAGTAGCGTTTGTTTGATGGCTGAAAAACCTTTCACATCTTTCGTTGAGAGGTATCGTGTAAATGAGATAGAACCCGCTGTTTCAAATCATTTGCAAACCTGGAATTAATAGCGACCCTATTAACCTGAAAGGCTTGCTTATTTTTTTTTTTTAAGTAAAACGTATATTTTGTTCCCTTTTTGCGGTTTTCTGTTTTTTTTTTTTTTGTTATTATTTATTTTTAGCAAAATAAAATACAAGAAGGAGGGAGGAAGAACCTGCCATTTCGAGCCACTCGAAGCGGGCGGGGGG